AGTGTCCACCAAGATTATATCATATTCCTATCGCATCTCCATCAAAACTGCATTTAGCAGTATATCAGCAGTCCTTCAATGTTTTATAAAATTTCCATACAATCCTTATTATATCTGCATTAATTCAATAACGTCTACATCGCCTCCATTATGCCTGCTGACTTGACTGATGCAGTAAACATTCATCACTCTGTTTTTATTCATCACCGAATTTGACTTGCCTAAACTTGACTGTGGTAAAATCTGAAACGAATATACTTTGTATAATACGGAGCGATACTCATTGGAGTACGCTTACTTGTACCAGGTTTATATTGTGATCTGATGTCAGATGAATGAGTCGAAAAAAAATAAGCGCTGGGAATTTGCTACTGTTTGAATTTCTTATTGGGTTGTCATCTTTCAATTTATAGTTGAATTCATAAAAAGTCTAGTTGCTTATTAAATAAGATCTTAAACATGATCTTAAAAATATTGATAGTTGATTACGTCCTCTCTTTACTTTTATAGGAATTTGTGTCAGTAGAGAGAGCAAAATTATTAATTGAAACCGTTTAAACGATAGCTTGTTACGTAAATTACTGTATTGATTACGTAAATGCACATCAACTCTGAACATCTCTGTAAAGTAAACACTGAACTGGGAGTTTAATGCGCAGTCTAGATTACTCGATTGATTGCAGATTTAGTAAGGTACTCTGGCACTGTTGATTTAGATTAAGGGATATAGTATAGATATAAGGATCTTTCTTGAGATTTATCTAAATATTTTATATAATATAGGTATATAGAAATAGTAAAATTTGTTTGTGTGGTGATGGTTGTGTTAACAAACCGCACAGTGAGTTTTAGCCATGGACGTGACCTACATTTCCTCCACAGAGGCCACATGATTCAGTGCCGGCCGCCGGATATTAATTTTTGGTCGACTTGTTTGGACGGTTCTCTCGGGAAACGTATAAATCTTATACGATACGACCGAGGAAGATGTCGGGATGGAAGAAGAAGAGACACCGGTTTTCCATTTGAAGTATTTCATGAGTTTTATAAAGAAATAGAAATGGAATGGTCAAGTAATTTTCGTTGCCGTCTGTGGACGATGAAAGAAAAGATTAATTTCTTTCTTTGAAACAACTTTTATCAGCATACTTCATAAAATTTGACGAAAAGAATCTGTTTTGAAGCCGTCTGGATGAAGGAGTATTATTGATAAATTAAATAGCTCATCTGTTTCAGACGATCTAAATAAAGGGGATCAAAAATACGTATTTCACGCCAAGTAAATGCTAGGAAATCCATTATGCCAGAGCGTGTATATTCCGTTCACCGCCACCGGCGCTGCTTCCTTTAGTTGAAGTACACGGTTGAACTTTTCTAGCTGCTTGAGCGGCACGAGTGACACATTATTTATAATCGTACCTCGCGGGATACGGTCTAACGATTTCATAAATATTTAACTCCTTGACAGGTAGATTATGGTGGCCTCGCCGAAAACTCCCGACCTTACTTTATATTCAATTCTTTTGGTAAGATGGATCATCAACATTGTATAAACGCATAGTCGTTAAACAAAAACTGTTTTTAAGAATTTTAAATTTATGACACCTTTCAAAGTACATAAATAAACCTTTAAAAAACGACTTAAAGTAAATTAAATTCTACTATTTTATATCTTTCATTCTTAGTACAGCAAAATCTTGATAGAACAGACGAATAAATCCAAATGGTTCTAGTTCTAGGTGCTAGTGTTAGTTCTAGTGCTAGTGTTAGTTTTAGTTGTTATTCAGCGCTAGATTGTTGTATATTTTTATTGAACTAAAACTAGAATTAACACTTATAGAAACTACTAGAAACATTCGGGTTTAGCCGTCTTGAGAGACGTGCGGCGTGACGTCACGAACGGGCCTTTGAGTTGTGCACATGTACCCGGGATATAGCAGACCGTCCTTGGTATAAATATAAAGCCACGTAAATTGAACCCAACGGTTGGATAGCTGGATATTTTAAAAATGAGGTATGTTTCACAATTAATATCTGAAAAACTAAAAGATGTGTTCAAAACCCGTTTCTTTCATTGGGAAGCTTATAGTTTGTACTACAAATGCTGATAATTTAATAAGAATTTATTATAACTACGATTTATTACGATTTTTTGAATTTAATTGAAAATAATTGTTTATTCCTAAAAATGAGAAAGTGCCTCATTATGTTTAAAAATTATTATCTCGAAAACTAAAAGATATTTTGAAAATTCGTTTCTTTCATTGGAAAGCTTATAATTTGTACTATAAATGCTGATAATTTGATAGGAATATATGATAACGACGATTTACTACGATTTTTTGAATTTAATTGAAAATAATTGTCTATCCCGAAAAATTAGAAAGTACTTCATTATGTTTAAAAATTATTATCTCAAAAACTAAAAGATATTTTGAAAATCCGTTTGTTTCATTGGAAAGCTTATAATTTGTACTACAAATGCTGAAAATTTGATAAGAATTTATTATGACTACAATTTATTACGATTTTTTTAATTAAATTGAAAATAACTGTTTATTCCGACAAATAAGAAAGTGAATCATTATGTTTAACAATTAATATCTTAGAAACTAAAAGATATTTTGAAAATCCGTTTCTTTCATTGGAAAGCTTATAATTTGTACTACAAATGCTGACAATTTGATAAGAATATATTATAACTACGACTTATTACGATTTTTTGAATTAAATTGAAAATAATTGTCTATCCCGAAAAATGAGAAAGTGCCTCATTATGTTTAACAATTAATATCTCAAAAACTAAAAGATATTTTGAAAATCCGTTTCTTTCATTGGAAAGCTTATAATTTGTACTACAAATGCTGACAATTTGATAAGAATTTATTATAACTACGATTTATTACGATTTTTTGAATTAAATTGAAAATAATTGTCTATCCCGAAAAATGAGAAAGTGCCTCATTATGTTTAACAATTAATATCTCAGAAACTAAAAGATATTTTGAAAATCCGTTTCTTTCATTGGAAAGCTTATAATTTGTACTACAAATGCTGATAATTTGATAAGAATTTATTATAACTACGATTTATAACGAAAGAGAAAGATATTTATTCCAGCTTATCACAATACAATTAAAAATTAAATAATATTATTATACAATATAAACTTAAAGTTAAACTTTGAAGCTGGAACGGACTACCGACCGTGGTCCTTCTGCCCATGTTACACTGATTAGTCATCTTTTAAAAATCCACGATTTTCTTGTAAATAGTATCAAAATTTGAGGATTGGAAAAGAGGAGAGGGGTTTGAGGACATATTTTTGTAAGCTTTTTTTTAAGAATTTTTCATAAAGGATGATTCTTTCTGCTACTTCTAGATGCGATGTCGCCTTTTTGCTGATATTAAGGAAGATGTGAGCTCCATAATCAAGAATGGGTCTGCAAATTGTTTTATAAATATGCATCGCACATTTAAAATTTATCCCATTGTTCTTGTAGGTGAGACATCTAAATTGCTTTGTACATGCTTTGACTTTCATTTTAACCTTTTTCGTGTGGATGTCAAATTTTAATTTGCTATCAAAGTTTATCCCAAGATATTTACAAGAATTCGTTCAATGTACCAATGTATTAGCTATCCGGAGATTCGGAGAATTTTCAGATAATTTATGGAATAGTAGAAGTAATTGCGATTTTCGAGGGTTTATGTAAATTCTCCAGATTTTGAACCAGCTTTTATAATATTTATAAATAATTTATGTATACTCTGTTTAATTTGAAACCTTTAAAACAATTTAGAGTAAAATTCTGAAAGCACAAAGCTATTTGAGCGGAGATCTTTGCTCGTTTTAGAATCGTCGTCGCAGTAAAACGACGTCGAAACAAAGTGGCAAAAACTCTCATTAAACCGGTCGGCCGCGGTATTTACGACATTCGAAATTGCACCTTCGGCGCAACACGCGCCCCGACAACTACGGACCTATGTCGTCTTCCTATTAGGGTGCAATTTAGCGAATCGCGAATTGCGCGCCGTGTTTATGTCCTACGCGTTATCACTTATTGTATGGCCGTTTGTTCTTCCCTTAACGGTGTCTCTACGTGCTGTTTAGCGTCCGGATACTGAACCGCTAAGGGCACTAGAACTTTAGAGCTTTGGTCCATTTGTTTTCATCTTCGTTTAATCGGTCAGTAATGGGGCAACTATATTCATGTTTGAAAATTTAAATTTTATCATCATGATATTTCCGTTTTATTCAATTTTATCAATAATTTGATCAACAATAACATTAATATTTACTGACATCATAATGGAATACTTAAAATTTTACAATACAATACCGCTGGAATGTTTTTACTAGATCTCACAGCAGTTCTTGTTCCAACGCAATTTCTGAACATGCCCCAACATAAATTGTTCGCTGAAAGGGATACACCTTAATTTGATTAATGGGTCGAAGTCTCCCAAGTTAATTCGCGTCTAACTCAGTTTGGACGTTATCGTCCCTATATATTGCTACATACGTCCTGTTCGTAAATTTGGTCCTCTAACATAAAGTGAGGAAACGGCTTTTCTATGTAAATAATACGATTTTTTTTGTAATAATTAATTTATTGATGGTTCAAAAATAAAGTTAAAAATTTAAAATATTCATCATCTTAAAATTCAATTAATAGGCTTTTCAGATAAGCCCATCTAACTTTCAAAGGTGTATACGTCACCGACTGAATGCAATTTATCTCGGGCCTTTGTAACTTCTTTCGGAAGGCAGCTTAGGCGAGCGGTAAAGAAGGCCGATTTTCGCAAACTTTTCATTAATCAAATTACGATAAGCCCATCGGGTAATTTATGCTCGTAAAGTTGGGTAAGACGGAGATTCGGAATCTTGCTGACTACAGAAAGAAATATGAAAGCGCCTACCGTTATGAATACCGAAAAATAAAATCGGATATTCTCTTCAACGGCGAAATTAATTAATTTTTTTTTGTTTGTTACAGATTCATCGTCAAAAAGCATGCATAACACCAATGGGAAAATCATTAGGGCTGTTACGACGGCAACCATAAATAACAACGCTCCAGGAAACGGGGAATTGAATGGCAACAATATTATATTTTTGCGTGGAACGAAAACCGAGAACAGCCATTTATTGTTGCGAACGGATGCGCTTGCCACGTCTAGCACCAAAGCAAATTTGGTGTTGGAAGATAGCGATGGAAAGCTTAGCCAAATTTTTATTCAACAGAGCGATTTAACGGATGGGGTTATTTTGCAATCGGTTAAAAGATTAGGTGCCGGAACACCTATCTTATTACTAAGCGGGAATGATAACGGAAACGGACATATTTTAATTCAAACTACAGCTGTCGATGACCAACCAACCACCACCGTTGAATTTGCCGAAGAAACACCTGGAGATAACATCTTGGTACAAGCTTTGGAAGGATTACAAGATGAACCGACATCTAAATGTGTATCAACACCATTAGGATCAGGTAAGAACTTAATTTATTTAGAAAATATATCATCGATTATATTTCGATTACTACTCTCTCTTAATTTTCCGAGCCGTTTGAGTTACAATAACGTCAAACATATCGACAAGTTGTCGACGTAAATGTACGAGATTTCCATGACCCGTTTTCATTTCAATCCTCGGATAGAAAACCTGTAGAAGCAGAAGGTTACAATTAAACCGATTATTTTCGCACTGACGATAGCCGAGGATGCACGTTGTGGAAAAACTCCAGATCGACGCTTTTGAAGAGCACGGCTTCAATTAAAAACTTTTGATTTCGTGGGTCTTTGTCAGGCCCGTACTGGGAAGAGATTATCGGAATTACATCGTCTTTCATCAAGCAAGGCTTTTGTACGGTACGCGGAAAATCATTAGAACAGAGCCGTTTTTATTGTAATACTTTCCGAATGTAAAAAAGGAGGAACAGGAAAATGTATACTACTTTTAATTATAATTTAAATTAACCGCGTCTTTTTACTATGAACTTGAAAAATACACCAACTAAGTAGAAAACATTATACTATTGTAGTTGCTTTTTCGAGTAGTAGACGAAGTTTGGTCCGGGAGGAAACTTTAAAAGAACATTGATTGCGATCTGAGGAGGAGACGAAAAACTTTTCCTGGGAAACAGACGTTTCCCAAGATGAATGAATTCCTATTGTCCGATTTAGATCTTAAACCTACATTATCCAATAGTTTACAATTATAAAGTTGACCGCGTTCACGTTCAAGTTAAAAAAAGAAATCGAACGGTCTTTTGTTAGAACTTTATCAATTGTAATTAGTCAAAAAAGAGTCTTTTACAATAATTAATTTTATTATTCCATAACCATTTTAACTTCTATTAGTAAAATCCACAAGAAAATGAGATAGCGTAATTATCAAGTGTCGGAAAATTGGTTAGGTTTGCCTCTTTCCAACCCATACCATTTTACGTATGTTGATTGCGAACTGGTATGTGGGCGGCAAATGGTGAACACGGGCCGTGTTATTAAGTTCCAGCTGGCAATTAAGTTACGCGGTTACATTGTTTCCACAATGGACGAGTGAGCTGCAGTTTTGGGCGCGTCGTTGGAGTCGGCGGGGGTGATATTTACTTGCGGAACGCAAGCGGCCGCTTCGTCGACGACCGGCTTCGCGCGGCAACGACTTAATTATTCACCCGAAATAGGCGCCCCGTCCCGTTAAACCTTGTTACGGAAGTGTAAGCTTCTATTAATTGGACGTGCTTTGTTTTACACTAGTGATTTGTGCTGTTACAAACATGCTAAAAAAATTTGTATAGGGTTGTGTTAACTTAAACAACATTGCGGTTTTCGAAACTCTGCCCCTTATCAAGTTATGACGATGTGATTCAATAAACTTGATAGATAGGTTTCGGCACAAACTTTAGAAAGAATGTAGCAGATATGGAGTTAACAGATATGGGTCCAGTGGTGTACTGACCATATTAATTTCGTAGCCAACCACCACCTCGCTGATCACTACTGTGGATCTTTAATATTGAAACGCAGTTCGTCTTTGGATAGGTGGATCAGCGATGATAGCTGATGAAAACAAAGCATACTTTCGCGGGTATGCGTAAGTAGTGGGTTAACCCCAATTAAAAGATATCACAATTCCGAGACATTTTCGTCATCCCAAACGTTGTGTTATGATCGCTCCGCGTAACTTACGAATGTGGCAAATAAGAGTAGAAAAGCAGTTAAGAGTCTACTCTTTCGGCAATGCCGACATGAAGTCCGTCAGATAAACTTAATCCGCTGCGTTCGCTACTTAACTATGATGTTATTCAAAGTATCGAATAAGCCTGTAGATTTAGTACTTGTATTATAGTTAGCTAGGATGGTTGTCGCGTGCATTATAACACTTGTACAAGAGTATGAAGACCAAACAGAGATATTTTTTCTGTTAGTTTGGTCATGGAAATTCATCGTCTAAATTTATTAAGTTTTAATTCTAATGTTGGAAAACATTACCGTGGCTCTCACAAAAATGTATTTGCAACCTTGAGTGGAATGCCTTAATTGCCTTTAATTGACATTAAACTGGTTTTAACCTATCTTTCATTGAAAGAAGCCAGAAGTGTTGGAAAATTAACAGCTACTGAGCGTCATGCTACCACGCTCAGCAGCATCATCATGGGGTCGACTGTCAGTGCTAGTGAGAATTCAATGTCACTTTTCTGCATGTTCAACTTAGTTAGAAAGTCTCAAGGTATTCTCAAGAAATGCAAAAACACAAAATGTAAAATGGTACCTGACGTTAATCTAGATAACGCTCGTGAAACTGTAAACTTTTTAAGGGAATGGTGTACTATGTATCCCAGTGACACTAACAAACAGCTATTAAAAAAACACCGTAATATCTATCCTACGACTATTAATAATAAACTACAAAGGCAGAATGATGAAATGATCTTGGCTTTCGGAAATAAGATACAAAACCTTTACTTTTAGAGATGTAACCTTTATAGAGGTTGGAAATGCAGTAGGGGGATTGAAAAATAAAAACAGCAAAGACGTACAACGTACAACTTTAATATACTGTATTATATATTACACTTTAATATATTTGAAAAGTAATCTCTCAAGATACCAAACAGTTCAGAGTGTGCATAATCACGCCGTACGATCGCACCAAAATATCAGAACCCCTTTTACAAGAGGGGATAGAGGTCGAAATGCTGTCTACCATTTTGGACCGTCACTTTATAATAAATTTGCCACAAGCTGTAAAAGATCTTCCAGTGAAACATTTCAACACTAGAATAAAAGACTACTTGCTTAGACGTGCCTTTTATTCCGTAGAAAACTTTGACTTTACATAACTAATTAAGATTTGTTTAGCTTGTGCAAAGACATTGTATTTTAATTTTATTATACATATCTGTATGGTATTGTTGTATATTTTGTTTGTATTTTATGTGACTTGTGTAATGAGTGTAATGTTCTGTGACACCAATAAATCTGAATCAAGGTATCATGGATGATGCTACTCATGATGCGGTTGGATTTGCTAATGGGTCGATTTGGTTACATGATACAAGCTGAATTTTTATGAATTTATGAAGCCCCTCATTCATCACTCCAACCCATCAAAAGAATCGCCAACTTTTATCCTGCTCATAACGGCTATGATTCTGATGCATCATATGTATAAATTTTGTTTCTATATATGACAGTACTTAATCATTTACATTAAAGAATGTTTAATAACTTTTGCTATTCTTTAGCTATTTATTGCTTTGAAAATTTTCGGAGATGTCTTAAGGTTAATTTTTTTAAATTTCGGATATAAATCAAAGATATTTATCGGAAAGCTTTAAACCTGCAGAGGACAAGCTGCATCGAAAATGAAGCCTCCGATATACCAAATTTCTCCTGTAAGTGAATTGGATTCTGAAGGCCATGAAAGGTGAAATCGTTACTAATGACTCCCTTTGAACATTCTACACCTTCTCCAGAAACTCATACTCACACTCCAGCTAAGTGTCGCAATAATAAGAGGTTACATTGAAATCTAGAAAGACTACTTCACTTCTTCAAAATTACCTTTTGAAAAAGATAGAGAAGAAGTTGCATCACTCAATTTAAACTGTCAAGACAGATCAGTGATTAGTGATAGTAGCTGGTGTCTTCCCCCCAAACATCTTGCTGATGCCTTATCATATGCTATCTTGCTACTAAAATAGAATATCTATTATACTCGAGTACGGATGTAAGTGTTGGCAGGCAAGCAGGCACTGATAGGCAACGCTCGAGATCCTCGAACAGTCTCTACGCAGCAAACAACTTTGTCATCACGACGTACGACTACAGGTAGAGTTTTTAGGATTGATTTGCAGGATGTACTGAGGTTGACAGAACTCTAGTAGAAACGAGAGCAATCACGTTTAACCTTAAATCCTTTCCTGCTATATGAACAAAGATTGCGAATATTCTATAATGGCAAATAAACATCAAAATAATATAACAGATGTGGCTAAATAGCTCTCAGCGGTTTGAAGCTATTGGACGAGACACGCAGAGAGTGGAAAACAGCGTCGTCGCAGACAACCCCGAACATTTAGTACCACAACTAAATTAGTCGTCTTAGGAAGGCATAAACAGATCGGGGAGCAAAGCAGGTTAACGTGGATGAAACATCACAGTAGTGAAATTTTCATCTTCTGACAAACAGCCATGGTAGAGACGTTACCAATATGTTAAAATATTATTTTGAATGTATTATGAAATTACTTCTTTCTGCAAACCTAATGTTGTTTTGGAAAACGCAATCGATGATCGTAATACCTAAAACACTTGGGCAACTGGTTAGATTTGTTAACTCATATTAACGACTTCAATCACCAAGGAACGAGAATCAGTATGGCTACCTGGCCAATTGTGAGCATTTATTAAATAGGCAGAAGAAGGAGTCATTTTCCATAAAGTTATCAATGTCTCCAGAAAACATTTTGCTCCAGATGAAGTAAGGATGTACAGAGTGCTTATTGATATAGAATTTTCTTTCATTCATGAAAATATTAATCAAAACTGCGAAAAACCGTAATGTTCAAAATTATCACACAAAATCCCTTCAACTACCTTGATGTTGTTCCATGGTGACACAATAAAGCTTTTCTTCAATCGATTATTAATTTTTTTTCTTTTAAAAAAAAAGAACTTAATTTATATTTGTAAAAATCTTATCGACAGTTAAATATTTTCCAGCGGATTCTGTTGGATTCGGACAGAAACATGAAAATTGCGGTCGTTTATTTCAAAAACGGTGGGGTGAATTGACTCGATATGCTAATTTGTGGCAAATAGTGGAATGAAACCGAGGAAAGACCCCGATAACGTGAGGTAGGCGGAGGCATTGGCGACACTAGACGTGGAAAAATCTGTCAATCTCAATTACCGCAGCGCATTTGTGCCAAGGGCCATTGGACGAACAGACGAGGCGATAACGTTTCTGAAAAAAAAACCGTTT